AAACTTTTGCACGGATTGGCCATTTTTATTCTAACTAAAGACTAACTCAGGGGGAGGCTCATTGCATTTAAAGAGACACACACACCAAAACGGAGCGTTCAGAGAGAGCTGGTTTATACAAGGTCACAAACCTCCTCTGGTGCTTGAGTCATGTTATATTTTGATCAAAGCACAGCACAGATGTTTCATTTCGACCACAGGAGACTGTTTTAAAAGTGGTATAATATGTCCTCTTTCAAGGCTTTACATGCAATTTTTTGATCCAGCAGATGTCGCCCTTGAGCACCAGCATGAAACCAAAACAACTTGCGCCGCATCGGCAGTCATTGCGATGTAAACAAACTGAAGATAGGACTCATAAAACTCGGAAAGCATCACAGACAGTGGGACTCGGTGTCACACTCATTGTAGACAGTCATGACTCACAGAGTTCTTTTCAGAGGATATTCTTGATTTCTATTATATTTAAGTGTGAAAAAAAATCGCATATAAAGCCTTTAATTGAATAATGTTCTTTTTTTTAATGGTTTCAATATTGTCTGACAGTGTTGTAAAGGCAAGTTGCAACTTCTCAGTGTGATTGCCAATTTTCTTATTGAGGGTTGATAAAGCGATTACAATTCTACAATTCTACAATTCACTGAGCAGACGCTTTTATCCAAAACGACGTATATCCGTAAGGAAGCGTATTGCATTCTTGTGGGGAATTTTTTTTTTTGCCTGGTTTCTTGTTATTACGAGATCTTTATCTCGTTATAACGAGAAAAGATCTCGTTATTACGAGATAAAGATCTTGTTATGACAAGAAAAGACACACATTACAAAGACTAAAAAGATACTACAGGGTTAATTAAGTTTGCATTGTGGCAGGCAGAGGAGGGAGGAAGATCAAAAGGCAACGATGACCAGGGTTATTGATTTGATTGTGTTTTATTTTCATCTTGGTTTCAGGCATTGGGAAATATTATCATCTTTGAGTAATACAGATGGTATTCTCATGAGCTTGTCGACTTAGCGCAGGCATCTGACGGCGTTAAGGTTGTGCAGACGGAAAGCAAAGCACAATCTGACCTACTTGACATAGTGTTGTTTTTCCAGCATCAGTTAAATAGATATGGTATGCTTCACCGATATAAAGTCATGCATCTGAATTGTATTCAAGCTGGCTACGTGGTGTCTCAAGATACGCTTAGGCATTTACTGAAAATAGTTTAACCCCATGAAACACAACTGCGGCGCCGGAATCGCCTGCTACGGTGTTTATACTGAAATGTTGAAATGAGCTGCCACTGGTGTACTGTACACTCCCAAACAAACCCGCGCCTCCTCATCGCCACCACCCTCATGCTTTTCTCGTTATTAAGAGATCTTTTAAACCGCTTTGTTTATGAACGGATGTCTTTGAGCACAGGCTTATTTCTTATTCCCTCTTTTTGTGCATTAACCAGGTACAGGAGACTCTAAAGTATTGAAGCTGGATCACCTGGTGACTTCCTTTTCAACCTCTGATGTTTCACTCAGTTTATATTTTATACTCGTTATAACAAGATAAAGATCTCGTTATAACTGTCTTCTAATGGACTCCTGAGTCTGGCAATAAAGATGATGATGATGATGATATCCGTTCATAAACAAAGCGGTTTTTGTGAAATTGCAGGTAAATTACTTTTGGAACAATTGGACAATTGGAACAACACTGACAGTGTTCTTCATGGAAGCTCACTGTGGTGTTTGTTTTTCCACCTTTTAAGCTAACAGAAACACATTCTTTTTTCCCCAAGTTATTTTACACTAACAAAAACAAAAACTCCTAACAAATATATTTATGTCTGCCAGTAGAGCCCCTTTAAGTTAAATGCTGGTCTTTGAGAAAAAAAGTCACACACAGAGCTGGTTGACGTTTGTAGAGCTGCAGAAGCAACATTCATACGTTTATTATTTGGGTATGGAGGAAACTAACCTTCAATGCAGACATTTTCATCAAATGATTCTCCCTTACAAACCTCGTCTGTTTGTACAGATCTAACCCTGCAACTTTCTGGTGATGAATCTATGTAAAGATTCAGAGAAAAAGAAGTGTAAGTCTTTTGTGACAGAGCTCAAGGCACAACACATGTAAAGAGCTAGAATATTTCAACAATTTCTGTTAACTCTAAATTTTAGAGTGTAATGAAAGTAGATTTGAAAAATTTAAGAATAATAGACTTAGGCCTATTTGTTGGAAATAGAAATATTTTGTAAGTGGAGTAAAGATTACATGTTTTCATTTCGTTTTGTCATTTTGTTTTATTATGAAAGAAATTGTCGTACCTGATGTCGGATTGGAGTTGCACAGCAAATCTGGATTGCAAGAGAAATCCATATCAGCAAATACAAAACTTTTGTGTATGTATATTTTATATTTATGTTATTAAAGAAGAACACAAAACACATTTACAAAAACAAGCAAACATAATGTTTGAAATGTGCAAATATATATATATATATTAAGAATGTGAAACACAGTGTTGTAAAAGCACCTTGGTCTTTGCCGGACAGTTCTCTACAGTAATTCTCCCCGAGCAGGACAGTGAGAGAAAGATTCCGCTTGATGTGCCATTTCGTAATGCGTAATAGGGAAGTATCGTTCTTTGTCTCCAGTTGAGGCCACTCTTGATTGCACCATTCTGTTTGATCTAAACAGCAAAATCATTCAACTCTTATGTTGCTGCGATGTATCCATGTAAAACAAATCTAGTTTATTGTGCTCAAATATTGTACTTACTTGGTCGTGTTGTAGGGTTTTTCTTCAGAAATATTATGCAGTCATGTCCCTCTGAAAGATAAAGAATGCAGTGTTGTGGTAATGTCATACAATTTGATATATTTTGCATATTTCTGCAGCAGTTTTTGTTTAATGCAGAATTAAAGAAAAACTACTGTGACTTGTGAAAGTATACCAACCTTCACACAATGTTTACATCATATTGCATAATCATTTTGAATTGAAATGCACTTATTGGATGCACAAGTGAACATTTGCAACTGATTTTTTTGGTTTCGTAGCAGAAACATTTCTCAATTTTATTTGCGAATAATTAAAGAAAGATGATATTACCAGAGATCAATTAACAGATCAAAAGAACGACTATCAACACAACAACATTTAGGACATTTCAAGGGGTTAAATACTTACAAAGGGCAATTGTAGTTTGAGAAAAATAAAGAATAAATTTGGATTATGTAAAGTTCAAGTTGTTTACAGTGGATTTGACCGGATAATTTTATTGGTTTATGAGGCTATAAAGAGCCTCAATCCCAGCATGCACTGAGACACAGGTACACCAAGGGTTGGTCAGATGATGCTTGAAACAAAATCCTGCATTTTTAAAAAGTATGATCTGAAAAATCAATCTTCTGAAGCAATAATTGTTAGCTTATTCCTTTGATTACAACCTTGAAATTATAGAGCACGTATTTTGTAATGATACCAATAAGATTATTACTGTTTAAATATGTAAGGGGATACAGAGACATTAGAACTTTGTGATTAATTAATAGTACAACATTTGTTGTTTTTTTAGATAGTTTTGACTCACTTGTCTCCCATTTGGGTTTAACTTTGATGACGTCGTTGAAGTTGTCAGAAACAACATACGCTTTGTTTCCCTTTTCCAAACAATCGCTCAGTTCCTTACATTTGTCATTGCTCTCTCCTCGGGCTGAAGAAAAATCAGATAAAAAAGGTCACACACAAAAAAAAGCCAGAAAACAACATATTTAATCTAAGTTATGAATCCTGGAGTTTGTCAAGACTCGACAGTTTCTCGTTTTCTAAAGAAAAATGTAATTTTAAGCTCTAGAGATTTTTTTTCTTCTTGAAGAGTGTTTACTTACAGGTCCACAGAAGAGCAGCAACAACCAGAGCAGACCATTTCATGTTGGGTCGATGGCATTAAGTCTCAGTCAGGATGACACAACAATTTTAGATAAAAACTAACCCTTTTAAAAACTATAAATTTGATCTCTTCTCTGGTAACAGTAACACCACAGCTCTGAGCAGCAGCAGCACTTCACAAGAGATAATGAACCTTCTTTTCTATGAAACTGTCAGACTTTGCATATAGCTGCTTGCATCATATTTTGATTTGCAAATTCTTAAGCCCTTAAAGTTCACAGATGAACACAGACGTTATGCCTGCTATGCAAAATAAAAATAAAATATAACAAACTCATATTATGTTAGGATGAACGTGTGCCGGAATGAATTGTGGTTGGTTATGCGCAACGAAGCATAATTTTTTGGGTTAAAAGATGTAAATCAATATGTAAACCAGCTTTTTGGAATGAAACTCGATACGTTTGAGGGAAAACTAACTCGAAAACATTGGCTTATATGACAGAGAAGGCTCATGTCTAATTGTTATTGAGCTATTTATTATATTTCAGTATTTAGAGAAAATTGTTGCAACTGAAAGTGTTTAACAAGATGAAATATTATCTTCATTTGGGGAGGCAGTTGCTCAGTCTGTAGGGACATGAGTCAGGAACCGGAGTGTCAGTGGGTAAGTCCTGGTACGGACCAGGTACGGCCCTGCAGGTTACAGAAATATTCTTCAAAAATATGTATTGTTTTCATTTAGAAATATGAACCACCTGAAAAGTGAGATTATTTGGGTCGAATATGAGTACCATGTGGTTAAACCAACTCTTTATCACAATGGTTCTTAGGGTCCCAAGTCCCTGCAAAAAACAATATTGTCAAAAAGTCTAGAAGCGCTTTTTAAAGAGCCTAAATAAATCTGATTTGGTTGTGGGTCGGCCCCATAGGTCGGTCCTACCGAGGTTAGATCAATTGAGAAATTAAATAGACATAGACTGTAAATATTACTGTTGAGAACCACAGCCTCGCCTACAGATGCATGTAGTCCTGCATCTGTATCCTGCAGTGTCCAGCAGGGGGCAGCATCGTAGTTAAGTCGCTTCAATTCTCACCCAGTTCAAACGAAGAAGAATAGGACGAAGAAGAAGAAGAAGAAGAAGAAGACACAGCAGTCACCCTGCAACAACAGAGAGGAACATGATTTCACGACATTGAAGTAAAGTGAGTAAACAGCTTAAAATCATAAGACACATTTGGGGAGTTTACTAACAGGCGAGGTGCGCTCATTTTTTAATTTAGCCTCCTGTGCCTTCATTACTGTCGATAACACAGAAACTCACTGTGTCTGCAATGTCAGAAGAAGCTTTTACTTCTCGGACAACTTGTCCATGTTTTATATTCAAGTTACATTTGTATCCATGACCAGGCAGTTGAAGCAGAATTGAATTGTTGCTGCTTCACCATACTGAAGTTTGACAACTCCAGACTCCCATCTGATTTATACCAATAAAGTGTGAACATGTAAAATACACATTCAGTGAATCATGATGCTCTTACTGAAACAATGCCATCGATGAGGAAGGTTTCCTGGTCAGTTCGGCACATTTATTGATTAACTTCATGATGCATTATAGCTTTTACAATCGTGCTAAATGCCTCCTCAAACTGCTCTGCACTGGACAGTCACACCAACATCACTGGATGTAATGCTTCAAGAAGTTAGTGTGGTGTATCCCGAATGACACAGTGGATCCTGAAATGTTGAGGAAAATACTTATTTCGATACATCGAGTGTGTGCAGTGACAAGAAAGCTCTAATACACTTTAATCAGCAGGTGTTTTAGTGGAGTCTGGCCTGCAGAGCTGCAGGAGATACTGGAAACAAAAAACAACTGGCTGTCAAAGCATTGTGTGTTGTTTTATTTCTGATTCAAAGGAGGTGCTTCCAATGATCTCACACTCACACTGCTTCCATTAAACTAAACACACAACACTAATAATATTCATTGATGGTAAACTTTCTCACACACTTCAGTCAAACATCTCTGGTTTTTGATTGTGTTAATCATCTGCATTACAGATGTTTTAGTCAGCCAGATGTTTTCAGGTTTTAAAAAAAAAAAAAAAACCTTTGATAAAAGAGTCAAGTGTGTCTATTTTGTCTTAATTTACCTTAAATAATGTTTGTTTTTCTTTTTGTTAACACTCATTGTTGCTGTAATTTTTTAGTCTTCCAGAATGATTTTCTTGTGAATGTTGTTTTTCTTACTTACATCCTTACATCTGTGTCCCCTCTCTCTGTTTTTTTTCTGCAGGTCATGTCTGCAGGTTGTGTGAGGTGGGTGCTGAGCCGTACACTGAGAGCCGTGTGTGGCCAACACCCTGCCTACAGGACCCCGGCGTCAAGATTTACAATATGCAGCGGAAGATACAACATCGCTGCTTCTTCATGGAGATGTTCTCCATTCTCCACCGCCGTGGACGACACAGATCAGACTCCTGCCGTGAAAAAAAAAAAGCAGAATCCGAGAGCGAATGCCACCATGACCTCAGTCGGGCGCAAGATCCCTCAGCGGGAGATACAGGTGATAAGTGAGACAGGCGAGAATCTAGGCACCATGCACCGGGCAAATGTGATTAAAATGATGGACGTGCAGGGCCTCAAACTGGTGCTGCTCAGCGAGAACAAAGATCCTCCCGTTTACAAGCTGATGAGCGGCAAACAGATCCACGAAGAGCAGCTGAAACTGCGGGAGAAACAGAAAGCAAAAGCAGGTTTGTGGGGCTTCTTTCCTTCTTTTTATACATTTTGTTTCAAACAGCCGTTCCCAACCTGTGATGGTGAGGTCACAAGATGATGTCGGAACATCAGCCCCTTTCACACACGCGCTCCTGAAACGTCTAGAAAATGAAACACTGCGGAAGTCTGTAATGTTTGCACGCAGCCAAGATGACAGACGAGGCAGCGGAGTCCAGCGCTGTGGTGACAGTTTCTGCCTTCATGTCAGTCGAATGAGATGCATTCACAGTATGAGCGAGAGAGTGCAAAAGAACAAGATGGCGAGCAGAGAAGAGGATCGAAGCAGCTTCTTTACGTGCTCGATATAAACATCATCGGTGGTGAATTTCTTTCCTGCTGTGTTCTCAAATCCTCTTAACCCCCGACTTCATTCGGGACATATTACTCGGGGGGGCTGGCAGGGAAAATGTCACGCATGAAAAATTTGGCCCGTTTCAGTTCACACGTGCAACTCACCGCTTAAAATGTGGGTAAAGATTTGTGTATGTGTGGAAACACCTTCAGGTATTTCTCGCGTTTTCTTTTTTCCTGTTAAAACAGGGAAGTTGGGCCGCCTGTTCACAGAGGCTGTAGTCGCTACAGGCGGACAGCGAGGGTTTCGAGTCCAACCTGCGGCTTCTTTCCAAAATCTCTCCCAAATCCCCTCTTCCTGATATCCTACTCTGTTCAACGTCTTATCAGCTAAAGGCATAAAAAGCCCTCAGTCAAGGAATCAAAGGAAGGTTACGTCTTTTGGGGCTTTGAAAAATATTTTAAATCCCATAAACTTTTGACGATTTATGCTGTAACGTTACCCTCAAAGAATCAAGACAGTTGAGGAGTGCATATTAAAAAAAAGGGTCATCTTGTCCTCTCTCTCGAAGCAGAAGATCTGTAGTTGCACGGTTCAGAGCTTGTGTTTGGTCTGAGTTCATCAGTGTTCAGCTGAGTGATGCTGCTTGAGTTGACCGTGAGACTGTTATGTTCTATACAAAAGAAAAAGACACACAAGACTAATATTCCCTGAAACTGCTCCACTTCTTTAGTGACCTTTGGGCGGCAGGTTGACTTTATTCTTGTGATCGAGGCTCCACATTAGGAGCTGCTTAAACACACTTATCTATCAAAGACTAAATACGCTTTAACCGTTGCAACATGCAAACATTGTACGCACGGTTTGTTCACTCGCTCGTTTTTTTTTTTTTTTAAATTGCACTCCACTCTTTCTTTTCTCCGCAGCCCCTGTGCAGGTGAAAGAGCTCACCTTCTCCTCCGGCATCGCGGCTCACGACCTCGCCACCAAGCTGAAGCAGGCGGAGAGCATGCTGGAGAAGAAGCACCACGTTCGAATCACTCTGCGGTCGGGACGAGGGCAGCCTGCAGGCGACATGGTGAGGGATGGACCGACACATGGGATACTCACAGACAACCTGTGGTCATGTTTCATTCACCTTTCGTTAGAGAGAGAGAGGTCAGGTGATGAGGGAGGAGAAAGATGTCCAATGTCAGTGTAAGGGAATCGCGAGAAAACTCAGGATATGATACGATGCCGATAACATCCTGATGCAAAGATTCTGCAATAATTGATTATATTGACAGAAAAGCGTGGAATGATATATCAAGATATCTGACTAACTTAATAAAGCCGTTTCCACCAAGCGGTCCGGTTCAGTTCAGATCCATACTGTACCCATTTATTGTCGTTTCCACTGCCAAAGTTGGGAATGGTACCAAAATAAGGGATCCGTACAGTCCTACTTTTTTGGTACCCTCTGTCAGGGTGCCAAGAGTACCGATCCAACCTTAAAGGTTACCCTTTGTTTACTTTGTCCCTGTTCTTCTTCTTGAACACTTAACTGAACTGTACTGAAGCAAACGGGACTGCTCGGTGGAAACGGGGCTTTAGGAATATGACATACCCCTTAAAAGGTCGAGTGTGGGTCTATTTTAATCACCGCAGTGTGGTTTCCCCCTCTTATCATGCTTCATCGCTTCAACTTCCTTTCACCTCTGTCTGACATTTTTTTTCTTGCTGTCTTCTTCTTCTCCTTTTATCCGGCTGCCTTTTTGTCATTCCATGGCCAAGTAACCTCCTTCATATAACCTTCGCTCACGGCCACCGGTGAGGAGTCATGACGGCGAGAGGAATTGGCAGGAAAAAATCTATAAGGAGCGCTGCGTTTTCTCCTTAATTTATTCGATTATCAATATTTGGCACCGGTGATTCAAAAACCTTGTCACAGGAGTCAAGATGGGCGTTATGTTGCTGTATCGATATTTTGCACCAACGCCAGTATTCACCATTTTAGTGAATGTGCTGACATTTACTTCGCGTTTGACTTTTTTTTTCCACAGGAGGCAACTCTGGAGCAAATGGTCCGACAAATGGAGGTGTTGGTGGGATTTGTTAACAAGCCGAAAGCCATACGGGACGGTCAAGCAGCCACGTGCACCCTGCGACCGCCTTCAGCCAAGGAACTGTCCCAACTTGAGAAAAGTAAAGGTGCGGCCTCGCAGTCCGACGACTCGAGTCCGAGCGCCACGCAGAGCAACACGGCGCCTGTAGACAACGCAGAGGACTCTGTGCAGAAGTGACCTCATGGAAGTCAAACATTTTCACTTTAAATTAAGTGAATACTGAGCATCTGGGTCAGTTCGGTTAAAAATCATTCTCCGCTGCTCACGGTGTATCGTGTGGATATGTAACAAAGCACAATGATGCATCCAGCAATAAGGGAAAGGTCCATCTGTCCTGAGTTACACTGACTGCCTCGGTCTTTTGGATGAAAGGAGCCTCATGTTAGAACATCTGTAATAGAAAAGATCTCAACCGATCATGAGCTAAACATCTGGATAGCTCACTTTTCATATGCTTGTACTAAATGTTTGCTTATTGTTAGCTCTAAGCTAACTTTTTAAGTTCATGTCACAACGACAACCTGAGGCAAAACCTTCTCAAGTTCCCGTCTGAAGGCTTCATCTTTGCTTCACCGTTACGTCAAGTAACAGAGTCATCCCAAACACTTTTACTACTTTACTTTTAAGAAGGTTCTTTGATTAATCTTAAGAGGTTAAGCTGTCTTTGTATTTATTACATGAGCATGGGTATCCATCCGAAGAAGGAACAACCAGGGCGGGAAAAAATGCAGCAAATATGGGAGTGACAACAAACTGCAGTTCCTCTAATGGCCACTTGAGGCTGGTTGTAAAAGTGAGGAAACCCATATAAAGGCCGGTATTAAAATAAACGGTACATCAGAAATAAAATAAAAGGTTTCAATCATGCTCCAAATAACTGTTTTGGTCTCTATATCTCCAACACTTCATCTTCACGTGTGACCGCTGTAGAGGGCGTTCGTTTTTATATAACTCACTGTTGAGGCTTAAAGTTAGTCTCATAGTTAAGAGTGAAAGTTGTGTCTGCTTGTTGTCACCCAAGCGTCACTTCAACTTAATCGACTGATGTCACTTGAGCTTTTTTTTTTTTAATAAACCTACCCGTCCAAATATGGTCACTTCTGGCTCAAAGAAAACTAAAACAAGATGGTCTTCTAGTCTTCTGACTGAAGTGTTTTTTTACACCACAGGTCACACCTACTAATCCCATTAATACACATTCATACGCCGCCGACGAAGCAGCAAGAGCAATTCAGGGTTAAGCGTCTTGCCCAGCGACACATTTGACACGTTGCTGCAGGAGCTGGGCATCGAACCCTCGATCTTCCGGTTTGAGAGACGACGACTCTACCAACCGAGCCACAGCCGAAAAAGCCTTGTCTTGGGAACGTGTGGTTTCAACGGCATTAATCCACAAACCTACAGTGACATCATGTTGGGTACATCCACTTCTCAAATGACGCAGTCTTTGGTTTAACTTCAACCTTTAACTTAACATTACCACAGCCTTTAAATACAAATAAATATATATGGCCGATAAAGAGTGTTGAAGTAATAAGAGTTACTCCACAAACAGATGTGTGATATCGAGCTGTGTGCACGTACATGAAGAATGAACGACATTTGATTCGTCCCCTTCCTGACCCGTCAAGACTACAAGACTTACTTCACAGCACAAGGGATTTACTTTTCATTCTTTTTTTTTTTCCTCTACTTGTGTCTGGAGACTTCAGACCAGCTTGTGGAAGAGTTATGATCAAGTTATTCAGACTTCATGTCCACTGATTAATAACCTTGTGTCACAACAGCAAAGGTGGAACAGTGCTTCTTATCAAACAGTGTTTTAGATTAAATGAAAACAAACTCGACCGCTTATCTTTCTCTGCTTTATTTCGAGATTCATCTTTATGTTTTTTTGGTAAAAAATAAAAAAAATAAAAGCAAATTTGGCGTACGGATACATTCAATCGTCACAGATAAACGTGTTGGTTGGACATCACATGTCACTTCCACACTTTTATCAACACCTGTCTCTAACAGAAGAGATACTGTCTTGGAACTTTTTTTTTTTTTGTTTGTTTTTCTTCTTTTTTTTTTTTTTTTTAACTAGAATCATACTTTTCCTATACATTACAAAACAAAAAATCCAAAGAGAGAGAACTGGGAAACATAAAAGCACCTGAAGCCCCCTCCCCCCCCTTTTCCCCCAAAATAAAATATTTTCCTAGATTGTGTTAGAAAACAAAATGGAACAAAAGCAGCTTACGGTAACTAGCACGCACGAGGAGCATTTGTCAATAAGCTTCGAGTACTTTGTAGGAGGAGAAGGGTTTAACAAAGTGATAGTCCAGGTTGCCACAGTGGGGGCACTGCTGGACGTTGCTGTACTCTGAGAAATACTGCATCCCGACCCGGACGTCCACCACCGGCTTCCCGCAGTGCTTACAGTTGAGGCGAGCCTGAGGAGACACGGGGGAAGAGGGGGGCGAGGGTCAGTGAACAGGACGCTCAATCAAAAGATCAGAAGACAAGGGACAAGAGTACCCATTTGAGGAAAAGATACATTATACATTTAGTATTATATGAAACTATTTACATGTGGTGTTAAACACTGGAAAACAAATGTTAATGGAAGATAGTGAGTAGGGAAAAAAATAAAGCCGCCGAGAGGCTGAGATTGGGCGTAGCACCTTGTTGGACGTGCTCACCAAAACAATCACTCTGATACGAAAAACAAGTTTGACTTTTTCTATATATTTCTATGGCTCTTTCAAGTGCCGAGAGCTTCCAAAAACAGACAAATATTCACGTTTAATTTATATTTGACACTCCTGTAAAATGGTCAATTGTAAATCTTTTGTCCTGCTGTCTCGTCTTTTCCCCGTCGTGTTTACATTTCAGACATCTTTTTGGCCACCTGATGAACTGAAGTCAAGTTTTCACCCAGATCTGTTTTTGTAGATCTTAGAGTCCATTTTAAAATTCTATTACTTGTTTTTAAGTCACTGCATTGTCTGCCCCCCCCCCCCGTATTTAACAGAACTTGTAACCCCCTACACCCCATCACGCAGGTCCTCTGAACAGTCGCTCCTTGTAGTCCCTCAAGCTCAACGACCGTGCCTTCTCAGTGGCCCGTCTGTGGAATCAACTGCCTCCCTCCATCAGACAAATCAACTCCTTAAATCCATTCAAATCAAAACTCAAAACTCACCTCTTTTCCCTGGCATTTAAAACAAGTTGAAACAGACCCCATATATTCAGCTTAGGTATGTATCTGTGTGTATGCATGTACATGTAGGTATGAGGGTATGTATGTGTTTGTGATATGTATGTATGCTGCATGTATATATATATATATATATATATACGTATATGTACATGTATGTATATGCATATGTATAGATTATTTTTTTTATTTCTTGTTTTTATGCATTGCCTGTAAAGCACTTTGGTCAGATGAAGCTGTTTTTAAATGTGCTATACAAATAAACTTGATTTGATTTGTTCTCTAATAACTACTCGGGTGGATATTTGTCTCTCAATTTGTTCAAGGATCTTCACAATCACAATTGAACCTGGATGCTAAACAGAAAATCTGTCCCCCCCCCGTCCCCCCGTCCCCCCCTCCGATTACAGCTCTCATTCTTGCAAATAACAGGACAGAAAAAAATACCTTTCAGTAACTATAAAGTTTTATTAAACTAGTTCTCAGTGTCAAAGTGTTTCTACCTGGCAGCAGGGTGAAGCAGCCAGTATATCGTAGGTGTACATGGTGCCCAGTTGATGCCAGCTGCCGTCCCAGCGTGACTTGCACTTGATGCAGACGATCTTGTGGACGCCTTCTAAACAGTCCACACAGATGGCGTACAGGTGCATTAACCTGCCTGTTGGGGAAAGAGAACATACATTATTATGATTAAATATATGACATTTATTGCATGACAAAATCAGTGGGATTGCTACAAACAAATTACAGTAATTGCTCTGTGTCCAATCAGACTGGAGCTAGTGGACAGGGAGCAAGCTAATAAAACTGTCACTGTTTACTATCATGACTGTAACTGAGTTAAAAATAACATGTCAGCGTATCATCCCCGATCCCTGTGAAGACGAACACATTCACAGTCAGACGCATAGTGAAGAAGATTCATGATCATGTCGATCTGGTGTCCCCTTGTGGACCTGAGTTGTAAAATGCATCTGCAGACTTTGCTCTAAAAAAATATATTCACACACTTTCATTTATTCTCAAACAAAAGTAAAATCCAAATGTTCTTTTGTTTTTACCGTACAGCATGGTCTCCTTTAAGATCCATTTCTCTCCTTTTCCCACATTTATATTCAGGCTGTCACAAAAGCATGAAGAGGGAATAACTTATCCTTTCTCACTGATGCATATCGAGGAGCATACACATATCAAAGCTTGTGGGCAACAACATCAAAGGAGCTTCATGCAGCCGCTGTGCTAATGCTCATTCATGTTGGACAGAGCCGTATCCAGCAGGAAACCTTTCATGTCCCCACACACAAACACAAGCGGGCTTATGGCTTTATGATGAAGTTGTACAAAAGCAAAGCTAACGTTGTTAAAAAAAAAAGAAGGTTTTTAGGTAGTCAATATCTAATGGAGAAAAAATAACATGCTGTTGATTGGAATTCATTAAAACACTAATGTGTCATTTTTCCCCACAGGCAACTGAGCCTCCTAACACATCACAGTATTTTTTTCAGATTAACCCTGTAAACAAATGACACGTGTTGACTCGTTTATCTTGTTTTTAAACTCTTAATTGAAGTGCTCTGCGAGGCTAAACATGGTCTTAGTGGAGCTTCAGGCTAAATGCTCACAACAGTGTGATAACATGCTCATATTGACAATAATCTCTATTTACAGATTCAATAAAAAATGTAAAAATCTGTAATCTGGATTTTCAAACATGGGGAATGTTCTTGTTTTGTGTTTGTAGTCCTTGTCTTGAACATTTATCCAAGCTTCTGCTAATTTCATTTCTAGTAAATGTGATCTTGATAGTTTTTTTGGGGGCTGCATGGTGATGCAGTGGTCAGCGCTGTTGCCTCACAGTGAGGACGTTCCTGGTTCAAATCCCTGTATATGTAATCCCTTCTGTGTGGAGTTTGCATGTTCTCTCTGTACATGGGTGGGTTTTCTCTGCGTTAATCCATCTTCCTCCCACAGTCCAAAAACATGTTTGTTAGGTTAACTGGTGACCATAAATTTCCCGTAGGTGTGAATGTGAGTGTGGCAGGTTGTCTGTCTCTACATGTCCGCCCTGTGATTGACTGGCGACCAGTCCAGGGTGTATCCCGCCTCTCGCACAATGATAGCTGGTATCGGCTCCAGCACCCAAGGACCCCGAACGGGAAAAGCTATATGTATTGACGGTTTTTGGTAAAGCATTTGAATGCATTAAGTTGTTTGACCCTGTACTGATTGACTTTTATTTTGACATTTGTCTCGTCATTTATTTCAAATGTATGAATCAAAATGCTGCACTCTCCCAGCGATGTTAACTCCGTACATGTAGCATCATTGTGATGTAATGTCGGCTCTCGCGCTGTGATCATCAAAAACAGTGCTGACCTTGAAGGTGGCAGGGGACGTCGTACTCAATCTCGTCGTGGCGTGAAGGGCTGAGAAACAGAGTCCCGTCCACCAGAGGAAACTGCTCGAACACGGGCAGCGTTCTGTGGCACAGCGCACAGTTCACCACGTTTCTCTGACTCGCACTGAGGGCTGACAGGATGAACCTACAGAAAGACAAGAGCAGACTCAGAGTTTGGCCGAGAAAAGGCCTCACCTGTAGGTATATTGTAGTAGAGCCCCTGTGAGGACCGTTTGTGTTGGTCTTGGTGACCCCTGTGAACAAAGCAGTACTTTTTAAAGTTGCTGATCTTGTCCAGTAAATTCATGTGGTGAAATTTAACAAGAAAAAGTCTCATTCTGCTTTCTTTTGGAAGGTATGACTTGGCCCTAGCTTGTCTACAAACCCCCCCAGTTATGAGAATCCCCCAGTCCATCCTCTCCCGTCTTTTCCCTGCTCCACTTTTCAGAAAATATGTGCTCAAACAGGCCGTTTGGAGAGCTTCCCTTTGTGACATCACAAGGGGCAGTAACCCCTCCCCCCAGGTGGGTGACACTCCCACAGCTGTGTATTGCTCTGCCATCTGAATCTGCCTATTCCCCGTAAACAATTGCGCTCAGTGCAAGAAAGCACAAGCCACCAAAACCCATCCAGAGGGGCGTGGTCAGACAAAGCTCATTTGCATTTAAAGCTACAGACACAGAAACAGCCTGTTCTAATCAGGGCTGAAATAGAGGGCTTTATAGGCATGATAAAATACAAGATCAGAGCGGATTTTTGATACTTTACCGACATGTATTTGGGACCTCTGGAACTTATTTAAGCTTGTTGAAAAGGAGGATAATATGTGACCTTTAAAGCAACATTATGCAGGAATTTAGTTTGGTGTGCTTTGGCACCCAACGAAGGTCTTTGAGTGCAACTACACTGTTGTAAAACACACATACTGATAATGCCTCCCACTCTCAGACAAGCAGAGCGTCAGTGCATGTGAATGTGCATGATTCATAGCGTCTACAGCCTGTTGTTTTCAAACAGTTAGCATGTGGAGTATGTGTATGTGTTCTCTACTGTTACCATGACAACTACAGGCTGGGGCTAAATGGCTACAGGATGATTTATTAAAAGCGACTTGAGATAGGTTTTTAAGGTTCCAAATGTATAAAGCTAACTTGCAGATAGACAAGGAAAGAGACAACTTTCTGACATAGGATGGATTCATTTTTGTATTTAAGCCTGAGACTTCACTTTGGTCGGAGGACTTTCTGCACCCAGCCTAATGTTATGTTGCAATCTTTTAAGAACAATATCTGTTTCGTTCCCATTAGCTGTGAGACAGATCATAATACCTACTTTCACGGCAATAGTTTTACCAGTTTGAAACCGTCCAACAGCAGCATAGCCAGCTCAGCATCGGGCTTGCAGCCTCCTGCAAAGCTCCTGCCAAAGACAGACTTCTTTCTTCCCAAAGTATTCTTTAATTGATATTTCCTTATGCAACCAACATTAAAAATCTATTCTTTTTGTCGTGCACATTTAACTTTTTTCTGTTCTTGTCTTTGGTTTATTCAAATTTGATGATCGCCAAAGACCCAGAATTGGTTGCCAATTTCTCGAGATCTTAAAAACATTTCACAGTGTACCTGCGCAGCTCTTCTCCCTGGCCTGCCTGGGCGTCGTCCTCCATGCGGACATGGTAGGTGTTGAGTTTGTGTCGGGGGATGTGGGTGAGGAGCTCCGAGAGGTCCAGCCTCCTCAGGAACTGCACTGGGTGGGAGTGGGTGCCGTCGGCCACACTGCCGGAGGTGAGGCGATGGTGGAGCGGGAGGGCGAAGGAGAGAGGCAGGGGGAGAACAGACCCGGGGTCCAGGTGGGATGCACCCCCCGAGGCTCCCATCGAGCAGCTGCCACCCCGACTGAGAGCTCCCCCGACCAGGAGGTGCTTCCTCTGCGGGTCCATGTGGACGGCCGATTTGAGGAACTCCCCCAGCGGACGGGAACCTCGCATTGCTGCTGCTGCTGCTCCGCCTCCCATTCCGAGGGGACCGGTGGGAGAGAAAGGGAAACCCGCTGGAGGAGACTGTCCCGGGGAGCCACAGGGAGACTTCTGAGGAGGTCCCAGACAAAAGGCACCTCCTGCTGCTCCTCTCTCTGTGGAGTTCTGACGATCCACTGATTGTCTGCGAGGTAAATCCTGACTAGAAGCTCTGTGTAGGAGTTTACCTCCTCCCACTGCTCCTCCCGGCGTTTTGCTTTTCTTGGGCTCCTCAAAGAAGCCGTCCCCTGGCACCGCCGCTCCTCCGCTGGCCCCGTTCCTCCCCATGCTCCTCTCTGATGGCTTCTTCTTGCGCTCGTCGTGCGCGCGCTTCACCTGGTACCAGTCGGTGTCTTTCTTCAGGTGGCCCTGGCCGCAGCGGCACGAGCAGAACCTGAAGGCCAGGTCGTAGCCCTTCTTCGTCCACATGTTCTGCCGGCACTGCTTCTCGTTCCAGGAGCGGGCCCGGCCGATGCAGTTGAACTGGACCAGGATGGAGCTCTCCCACTCGTAGAAACACTGCAGGTGCATCCAGTTGCCGTACGGGCAGATCTCACTGTTGCAGAGCACCCGCTGGTAGTCGTCCTTGTCCAGGTTGATCGGGCGACCCAGGCTGCAGCCGAGAGGCGTCGCACACTGGACCTCTGGGTGAGTAAAACAAGAGGGGGGAAGAGAGAGGATGAATCTGTTGAGCCCTCGTTGTAAACCTGATTTAGTCACTTGATTTGATTATTCACTTTGCTGATTTAATAATAAACAAAAAGCATCTTTAAACTGCTCATTGTAACCCAAACATAATAATACTCAGGAATGAAACTACTGTTTATTCTCATATTAATCTGCCATTTTCCCCCCTCAATCAATCTTTTCACCTGTTGTTGGATGATTAAACTAAACAAGCAGTCGAAGGCTTCACTTTTAATTCTCAGAAATTGTGAAAAATTGTGATTCTTATTAAGAAAATGATCTTGAAAATGAATCAGTTGCTGTTTGTCATCAATATCCATTTTTATGAAGATTAATTTCACTTTAAACTGATTAATAGTCTTTACATGTAAAAATGAGTGTGGGAAAATGTTGTATAAATTGCTTCTATTTTTAAGTCTAACCCAAAGTTAAACCCAAAGAATCCTTATTTTCTTTCCTAAATAACAAGAAGATAATCATTGCATTGCATCCACTGGAACGACCACATGTGTGACCCTTTTGCATGAAAAAAATCAACTGCCGATCAAGGTTCTTTTAATCCACCGTCTGAATCAAAGATGATCATCACGCATGGACAACACCACCTGAGGTGAAAATGTTTACAGAGACATTTCAGTGTAAACTTGCTGCCATTGGTTTTAGGAAATTCAACCAGGCCACCGAAGCCTGAGAGCGGCTCTATTCAAACCCTGCCAACTGTCAAGTCTGGATGTGAATCAACCAAATGTGGGCTCACAGTCTGTAACAGAGGAAGCTCATGATAAAACGCTGTGGGTGTATGGGGGGGGGGGGGGGGGGTCGTTTCCGCTTTCCTTTTCCGACACACTGTCAAAGCTTCTTTTTAAAAACCACGATGTCTTTCTCAAGTCACCACAAAGTAATTAAAAATAAATGTTTCTTCACATTTTTAGCCCTTTGTATCATCTTAGTAGACAACTGCACTCTCAGCTCTCAGACAGAAATCTGGGAGTACACAAAAGAGGTTTCTGTGCTGACTTAGAAATACACATTTCTTTTCATTCTGGGCTACAATGTGCCGATTTTCTTGCTCGTTGTTCACTTAATTCATCAAATCCTTCTCATGAACATAAAGTTGTGACAAACTGAAATCAGGGCCTGCCAGATAAATTGGTCTCCAACAGTATTGGCTGATTTAAGCCTGAGTGCAGCCGATCACAGGTATTTTCAGAATTGGTGTAAATGCAATCCCACATGTGCCAATATCCAAACTTAATTACCGACCGTATGATGGAGACAACAATGCTCGGAGTTCATGATTTACGCTTAAAAACAAGTGAAAGGCTTTTCAAACGCCATGTTTGTGAAGCTTAATCCTTACACTGTAATGTTTCCTTTTGTTGTTAATTGTTTTCTTTTAATTCAGTCGACTATTAAATCATAGACTCATTCTATTTATTTAAAAAAATAATGAAAAACACTTGCTGCTGGGAAAATGAATACAAACAGTCAATAAAATGGACATATTAAAGTTCTGTGTAATGTGTTTTGAGGGACTGCTTGTCAACAGGCAAGGAGGCACGCAACTGCTTGGGGACCCAGACCAGTAGGGGGGCCCCAACCGAGGTCTGACAAACTTTGAAACCATATGTAGCAGTGACTCAGAATTGATTAATGACAGTAGAAAACCTCCCTAAAGGGGGTCCCATCTGACAGTACTCACTGGTGTTGCACCGCTAGCTCGTCCCAATAAAAGCGTGTCTGTTAAAGTTGCAGATGGTGTCAGATTATTTTTATAACGTAAAGATGATGAATGCTAGTTGGAGGGGCCCCCAGGGAATTTTGCTAAGGGCCCCCAGCAGACTCTACAATCTCCCTTGGAGTTATAAAACAAGTAGACTGAGTTGAATCACTGATGTTAAACACAAATGTACACTAGCTCCAACGCCTATTTTTTAATCCTCTACTATTTTTCAAATCAAAGTTTTTCAAACGCATTTGTTTCCCCCCTTCCCTTTTTTTTTTTTTTTTTTTTTTTTTTTTTAAGTGTACATGCAGCCAAGCAGGGTGACTTTCTCAAGCAACTCAAAGTCTGTGCGCACACAAGCGGCGAGGTGTCAGTACTACTCTTTAAGGAAGGCCACATCCAAAAAAACTGTGTGGACTTTGAGGTGCGCGTCAGGCACAGACAGCTGAGGCCTGCAGAAAAGCACACACACACACACACACACACACACACACACACACACACTGCCATGTAAACGCCATACATTGTTCATGTATAACATTGAAACGATTGCTGCATTGTTTCATTAGGACCCCATAGAGGCTACATTTGACAACAACGCCACATTAGTAGTTCAAAATCGTTTTCCAGAGGAGCTTCTTTTCACCCGCCAAAATCCATTCACAAATCTGACAATTTAAGGATCTGCTGCCTCTCGGCTCCTACTGAAACCTGTAAAAATATGACTAATGACTATTTTCGAAAATTCAACAACCACTCTTCAATTCTGCTACCGTTCAACCCACCAAGCAGCACCTGCTTCAATAATAATCCAACTTCTGTGCCTCCTGTGGCTACAACCCTCGCACCAAAACAAACCAAACATGCCCCGTGAATATCAGCGCAAAGAAATAAAAACAAGCCCTTGTTTCAGTGCCGTTGAGTACGAGATACTTGCTGGATCACACACAAACCATCAACCTCCCCCCCCACAAAAAAAAAAAAACCTCACTCCATTCATGCGAGGCCTCAAGTCGTGATCGCCCAGCGTGGCGTATATTTACCGACATTCGGGGAACCGTCTAATTGATGCATTTTTAAATAGAAGTTTTGCGAGGTGTGGAGAGGACGTGCAAGTGGGGTGGTTCGAGACACTGGCAACGTCGCAGTGCATGCATGTCACAGTCGCACAGACAAGACAGGGCTTCCCCTGGCAGGAAGACAGCATCACCAAACTTCTACATCTGTGTCCGTTTCCTCTCTTACCACTTGAGCGATCGTTTCTGGGTGCAGCCGACGCCGCGGCCGCGCCTCCTGCTGGGGCCGCACAGGCTCCATTTTCCTGCTCATCTCCGCTGCTGTTCGTGCGTTTGCTTTTCTTTCCCTTGTTGTTCTTCTGGTTGGGCATTTTACGCGATTCGGCCGCCAAGTGTTATTTACGACCTCTATCAGCGGCTGCTGTCACCGCCGTCTGACATTTCTGTGGACTCCATTCCTGCAGTGTTTTCTCTTTGTGTTGTTGTTTTGGTGGTGGTGGGGGGGGGGCTCCTCGTGGACGGTAGGCGGGTTAGTGTGCAGCTCTTGACAGCAGCAGCTATAAGGAATAAGCTGCTATAACCTTTAAGAGCGAAGGCGTGTCCGTCTCTTGTTTTGATTCCTGCTCCGCTGTTTTCTTCCACCCCCTGACGTCACAGGACCACGCCCCCCCCCCCCCCCCAAGTTGGCAGTCAACTGTTTTGTGCTGCATTCCGGGTCCTGTGGGAAACCTCGGACTTTCACCACCTCGGATCCCTCGGGTGGCCCACAAACAAAAATCAAAAATATTTCACATACAAGAACCGACTGGGTTTACTGGGAACCTTAAAAACACACTTGTAATAAAGCCAAATATTAACTTAAAAAAAAAAAAAAATTTAGGATAATAAAAAAAAAAACGCTAACGATTAAAGATTTTGTGGCGGTAAATGTTGATTTATGTGTTTGTTTTTTTGTTGTTGTTTCAGGATGTCTCCCGTCTTAAAATGCACAAAAAAGCTATTAATTTGTAACTTCCAACAAAGAGCTTGATTATAACTAAACATTTAAATTATATATTTTCCTTTGATTTAAAAGACTGGGAATGACAATAATAAACTACTTCAAAGAAAAAATATTCACTTTTATCAACTTTAACTTTTATAGCATTATTAATTTTGGCATGAAATGCATACAGATTATTGCAGTCAACCTTTATGTTGTGTGAAATGTATTTGTAAAAAAAAATAATTAAAGCTGCGATTAACACAGAAACAATACTGTAAAGTGGTGAGGAAACAATTGACACTTTGGAAAAAAAATCAGATATAGCTACAAAAAAAAGTACGCAGCAAAGCAGGTTCAAGGCTTCAAGTGTAAAGATTTTATTCCTCGGTGGATAACAGAAAACTCTGGTCTGTATTATTGCCAATACAAAAGACAGTAATGACGCACTTGAACACATCATGCAGGCATTCCACTGGGTCACAGAAATGGCTCGAGGTATTGGCACTGCTCCGATCATAACGTTCTCCTCTTGCTAAATGTTGACTTTTACTGTTCTCTCTGCATTTATGTTCTTCGAGGCCTTCTGAAAAAAAAATCTCTCCAGAGCAACGACAGCAGGATAATCCAACATAACAGTGATGAAAACAGCATGTTTCTCCCTCTCTTACTATATCCATAACTCTCAGCCTATTGTTTGTATTTTATCTCAGCTAGGCAGTATTTCAGTTGATTTCATGATTTGGATACCTTGACCGTGAAAACGGATTGATCAGTCTTTGCAATCAGAGGTGTTCAGAGTACAATCCAGTGGAGAGTGAATTAGTCTTTGATTTAGAAAAACAAACATAACAAATAATTCAAGTCAAGCTGGAAAAAAAAAAAAAAACCTGAACCTGTAAGATTTAGCTAGGTCGACAAAACAGCAGAGAATGTGAGATTGGTCTTTGAAACACTTGCAGATAAGATGTGGTGACACATGGTTGACAACATGCCTTATTTTTAAAAAAATGATATTAGCATTTTGTGTGGGTGATATGGAGGGCAAATATGTAATGAGAAGAAGAGAAAAATCATTACAAAATGCAGAAAGGCACAACAGTTGCCAAGGGGAACACCGAGGGATTGTTTACTCCTCCTGGTGTTTATCCATAACAAATCTTTGCTCTCACTATCACTGGGATGCAGCCATCTAACCCAAGCTATGGAGACCCAAAGATGTCAAATTTAAATCAACAAATATGATTTAGCTTTTTTTTCCCCACAATAACAATGAGGATATTTTTTTGTAATAACACAAACATTTTGTGTCAGTAAGTCTTTTTTCTTCAAAAATATATTTAATTTCATAATGCATGTTTCATAACCAGGTAGAAACAGACGCATGGCTAGCTGTTGCTTTGGTCAAAATTGGTCAGGCCAACTTATTTGTGATGATCAGGCATTGGCATTTTGAATTAAACTTTGAACTGATCTGGGCCTGGTGTAATGAAATCATTGGACTGTTGTGCTGCGTTATGTCTTCACTGTTTTTGCCCATCAAATTATACATTTCAGAATTTCTTTCTTTGCCTTATTGTTTGACTCTCTTGGCCTCCATACAAACCCCGATGTGAGCTGTATGGAGGCTAGAAGGAGTCAAATTTACATCGATGACATTGAATCAATATTCAATCACAAATTGAACCCCTTCTTCAACAAACATAATAAATCACCCACACATTAAGATCTGATCCGGGGGATCAAGCTCGTCAGCCTTGTCTGATCTGCAAGTATCCGTTGACCTACAGTACAAAACAAAGACTGAGAAAATTAAATTAAACTATAAATGCACATCTTCCAAGACACCTTACAGGACAATTATTAAACATAGTTTGGTAGGTTTTGGTCCTGAGAAACATTACAAATTCATCTGCATTTGGCACCAATCACCCTGTAATTAAACACTAATAGAAATTGCACACGGAATACTTTAGGCATTCGCTCACCAACCATTTCTTACGAAAGGCAAACAGATTTGGAGATTTTTTTTTTCTTTTTAAGCAGAGAAAAAGTCATTATTGACCACTCGTAAAAAAGATGGAATAAAAACTACACTAGCAGTTTGCAGTAAGTACAAAAAGGTGCAAAAATCTTTCTTGAAATGCACTTTGTCGTTGTAATTTCTAAGAGGGAATCGTTCTTAGATTTCACTTAGCACTGGTGTTATAATGTCTTTTTGCAAAGTCCACAAGAGGTAGTCTTAATAGCTCATGTAAACAATAAATGGGACCGCCACTGGGTGGACACGCGCTCTAGTTGTTGTTTTTAAAGCTGCACTGACATTTGCCAAGTGCAGCTTTAAAAAACGAATGTCCCTGACGGAAACAAACAGTCAGTCGGTTCTCCAGCCTAGATGTGTGGAAGTTGCTAAATCTAGCCAGTATTATTACCACTGTGTCTTTTATCCTGACACAGTACAATCAAGAGAGGCATTTTGGCGCCTAAAAATGAACGAAACACCCAAATAAATTGCATTAAAGAAATGAATACAATTCTGATTTGTGCGTTTGAAGTGTTAAAAGTGTATCAAAATGACATGTCTGATCCGTGGTTGATAAAAGCAGCGCCTGAGAATGAGAGAACCGTCCCTCGAACATCTGAAACTATAGATGCAGGTGTTGTTCTGCCCATGGTAAAATCTAAAATATTCAACACCTTGGTGTGATTCTGTTAGCGACAGTAAGCCGGCTTGGTCCGTAAGTGTACTGTTTGATCGAATGGGTTTGGTCACAATGTTAAAATTAAAATACTGAGTCTTGTGCATGAAGAGAAATGACTGGAAACAGAAGCTCAGGGATAAGCCGGTACACTGCGGAAACTCAGTATTTGGAGAAATTACCAACAGCAGCTAGAAGCCCATGAGGTCCGACATCTTTGGCCTCATTGTTGGAGCAGGACGATGTCGACATTGTCGTGGACGCCCTGCAGGAGCAACTCGCCCTCGAACTGGACCACCTTCTTCCTCTTGGCGGCCCTCAGGGTGCCCACCAGCGCCTCGAAGATGTTGGCACACTTGTCGTCGTTGAACAACACGCCAAACTTCACAGTGGTTTGACCATCAGCATCTGTAACAAGAGAGAGGTACAGATGAACATTGTTTATTTTGTTACACTTTATTGGCAGCAGATACGTTAAGGTTTTTTATTTTGTGGCTTTTTATACCTTTATTTTAGAGGTAGGACAGTGAAGGGAGTCACAAATCAGGGAGAGAGAGAGAGAGAGGGGAATGACATGAGGTAAAGGAGCCACAGGTCGGTAGCCAAACACTGCAAGTGCAGCCAGTGCACTGATACACACACACATACTCTAAATGAACGGTGTGTGTGTGTGTGTGTGTGTGTGTGTGTGTGTGTGTGTGTGTGTGTGTGTGTGTGTGTGTGTGTGTGTGTGTGTGTGTGTGTGTGTGTGTGTGTGTGTCAAACACGATAATCACAGAAAGATTTCTTCTTAGTGTCCATATGATGTTCATGACTGGGGGTAATAAATACTGGTATTGAAAGGATGCAGGTTTTTAAAATACAGTCAGTTGCAGTTTCTAAATAAAAAGGAGAGTTCATGTTTATCTAACTGCGTGTATTAATATTATTATTGGAACTGCAGCACTATATATATAGTGAAGAATAATGAGTGAGTGATATGTTTTTAAGATGCATGAAGAAGCATTTTGATTTCTATTTAAAAATGCAAAGTTTGAGTAATGGCTAGCTGAGGAAGTTTAGACTTAGACTTTCTTTATTGTCATTCAAACTTGTACTTTACAGAGCAGATAAGAACAAATTTCGTTGCATTTGGCTCGTTGTAGTGCAGGATAAAAAAAAACAGCAGCATGTATTTACATATAAAAAATAAAATAAGGTGCAGATATAAATAGATATAAAAAGAAAAGCTATGAGTAAATAATAATTTAATAATTATAGATTATTTTTGTTTATCTGGCTGATCCCAGAACGTTCAGACCCATGACAAAAACATGCGATTTGATCCGAACCGCGAGATTTGTGACACATTGCGTCACCAGCCACAATGTCAGAGAAGACAAATGGGAGCAATAAAGCCCTTCTACTACGTCGATGGTGTGTTGGCGGAATGTAATGAATGAATGAATGATGAAAACCACCTATTGTTCTGACACTCGGGGAAACATCGACCTAATGTGTTAGTCATGGAGTTGCACCAGATATAATGGAAAACTACTTACAGGGTAAAGCTCATTTTAAATAACATCTTATTAACACACGTTTTATAAATACACATTTGTGTTAATAACACTGTATTAAAGTGCAATGTAAGCAATGGTGCCTCGGGCTGCAAGGATAATACAAAATGACAGATGAAAGCAGCATCTTTATATCGCTGCAACTATTATATTGATATCTTATCGATAAATATTGTTTATTTGTAAAAAAAACAGTAGGTTATGCAAGATTTAAAAAAGGTACAGCTATAGCAAAGCACTTCAATAAGAATGAACTCACTTTTAGAGCCGAGTCGCTCAATCTCCTGCACCAGCAGACTGACTTCATGAGAGACATTCATTGTTGCTGTAAGGGTGACAAAACAAAGGTTACAAGTTCAGCATGCTTTGGAGGCAGAAATGATCAACACTAATAACCCTTCATTTTGGACAGACCACAAACTCCATTCATTCAGATTTTCATTTTATGTGCTTTTAAAAAGCACATGCAGTTGCTCTTCTTAGTTTAGCACCATGCTGATAAAGTCCATCCCTCAATTCGGCATACATTTAAAGCCACAAAGAAGAGCTTATTACAAACATGTTACCATGGGAACCCACCAACTTGAACATAAGTGTGGCTCATTATCCCCAAAAAATATTCACAAAAAAAACAAGTTTTAGCAGTTTTCTTCATGCCGAATTATCAACACTGTGGTGGTTTTTCAGAATAAAAGGCTATTTTAATTCAACACCAGATTATTAATAAGATATTTAAATATCGACAGATTTGTGAAGGGAGTCCGGTTTTTTTTTTTTTTTTAATTCTCCCTTTTGGATTTTTTTTTTTTGTTGTTGTTGGAAGGTTAGTGAATAAATGCGTTTTTGTACGAATAAACAAAAACAAAAGCAATGATAAATTAAAAGGAAATGATTGCACTGACTGCATTTCAACATCAGAAGCTTCAACATGAACAGGGCGGATTATCATCAATGCGGAAATGGGGCGTTAGCACTCCCCAGCTAGCCATCACACGTCACAAAAGGCATGTTGTAACTCGTTCATTTCAGTGACATAAAGTCATTCGTAAATGCAGATGATGATTCACTATAAGGACGTGTTTTAATTAACTTCGGGGACAATGTAGAGTTTTCTGTAAAGCAGCAGAAACGAGCTCGCCGGTGTTGTTAGCTTCTACAAGTGATCCTGTGAAGGAGCTGGGAGAGTTTCAGACTCAAACACTGATTAAACATGTGGTGGGAAATGATTTCTATAAAGTCCAAGTCATATTTACCTTCTAAATCTCCTCGAGTTTTAGCAGATGATGGACGACTTTCTGATGAATCAGCACCGGGTGGATAATCTCGCTGCGTTCACTGTCTGCTCGGAAACGTCGCTTGTCGTGTATGTCGGTGATAGAGAGACCAAGCAGGAACATCCGGTTTTGAAAAATTCATCGAGTGTCCGCTTGAGGCTGAGCTGCAGAAGCACAGGAAGTCACGTACACACACCATTCAAAAAGAAAAAGACAGCTTTTACATAAAAAAAAAAAAAAAATAGCACGAAATTGGTCTGATTAGCTCGTGTCTTGATCGGCACACACGGTACGGGGTGATTTAAAAAAAAATTAAAAAGTAATCCGTTTTGATTTTATGAATTTTATTTATAATTTTATTCACAATAAGGCACGTAGCTGACCAAACTGTAAAGATTAAGATTGTATAAATATATAAAATGTACATATAGTACATCAAATAGACAAATAGATATGTATATATAGATATATGGATTGTATAAATTATAAAAAATCATAGTGTATCAAGTTGTATATATGTATGGAAAATGGTTGGATTGTAAATATCAAATTTAGTATCATAAATATAGTGTAGCAAATTGTATATATTGAGAGATTATAAGGAACACAGGAAGTTAATTTAATTTAATAAATATTAATTATTGAGCTGTGAAAAGGGTGTAGGATTAAATAAGTTTTATACTTCCTACTCCTTTTCAGGCATATCAGTTGAACATATGTATTTGCTTTTTCTTTTTCTTTTTTTTGTGAAATAATTTGAACATTGTTTTTTGTTTCTTGTGTTTTCATGCTTTTCATTTTGTTTTGTATTTTTGACATGTTGGATTTTATTTGATATGTCTGAAATAAATGTAATCAATCAATGAACAGCTGATGAACAGCTACCTGTTGGACAGGCTGGTGTGGTGCAGCTGTATGTTAAGTGGCTTCAAACCTGTTTTCAGCCTGTCCTTAGGCTGACTGAACGTTGGGGTGGGACAACATTTCCAGCATGGCAACATTACTCAAGTGTCGTCCATTAATATTTACAGTCTGTGGCATAGACAAGAATATATTTTTCCATCTAGTTTGTGTGAAGATCAGTTGATAGATTATAAATGCATGTTTTTGTTTTATTTGCCCGACCACCTTGTATATGACAATGAGAAAAAAACATTCAAAGATATACCTTCAGACTCAGATCCATGTCACAAAAACATTACACATTGCCATATAGAGCTGCAATGATAAATCCATAAATGGCATACTGTCTGATAAATTGCCAACCATGTGGTAATGTAATAACTGAGCAATTAAAAAAAAAAAAGGAAAAAAAAACATTTTACTTTTACTTGACAGGGAAGAAAATATTTATATTGGTTTTGACAAAGAGAGCTATTTGTAAAAACAACATTGATCTTTTGGACACAATATTAAAACATATATATATATATATTTGCCATTTCATTAAAGATTAGATGTGCTTGTACACATGCCTACACTCCAAACAAGGAATTCCTCCCATTTTTCAGACAACACATGATTGCTAAGTGAGTTACTACTTTCCCATCTACTACTGAAGATCATTTTAAATTGCTGCGCGATTCAGGAAATCTTTCATAAAATACATTATAGGAACAGTCATTTTCTCATAAGGATTCAAATTTCCCATCACCCCTGAAGGCCCCATGAAAGCTCATCTGACTTCATCGTGACACAATGCGATGCTTTTAGGACCACTGCTGCCCCATATAAGGCATGGTACAGTGATGTCTGAGTGTTGAGTCTGTGGTCTGCCTCCACAGACATGACGATACATTTTCTAGTCCCCCATGCAGGACTCATGGTCGGTTAACCAGGTGTGCTACTGACAAAGAGTCCACATCCAAAATACAAAATAAAAACGGCTAAAAGAAAGTCCCTTTAAAGCAGTGACAATAAGCAGAGAAAAGTAGAACATTTCCTTACATCATCAAAATGAGCATGACAGTCCTGTGCAGAACATGCAAAAGCCATTTAATTACAGTATGGAAGTTCATTCATAAAAAAAAATAATAAATAAAGCCAATAGCCTTTTAACCCGTTAAATTCTGTTCACCATACAGTTTTTAAAAAAAGTTTCCCCAATTTTTATCTTTACATATGTATAGGCCTGTATATAAAAGCAAAGTTACCATTTTCAATTGGTATTTTTAAGTTATACACCAACTACTTCATTAACAAGTGGTCATAAAGTATCATGTACAGCTGTTTTTACATTTTTAGTTTTTACGTTATTATGTTATTGCAAGCTACTTAATTTCGTGTATTTCCTTCACACTTGCTTTGTATGTTTAGTTGGTTTCCAATGCCAATAAAGCCCTTAATAATTGAATACAATTGAAATATGTTTTTTTTTTGTTTTGTTGTTTTCGTATGTGCAGACCATTTGTGCATGATTATTATTTAGAATTATATTGAAATATAAAAAGGACATCAGAAAAATAGAGACCAAAAACAGTTTCAGCTCTTGTTACTGTTTTTTATGGGCCAACTGTAACTTGTCCCGTCTCCATCATAAATCTCTGTAGCGGCTTTTATTTTGAAGTAGATTATCCGGGTCCCTACAGGCCAAGCCATCTCGCGCTGACTCGGACCGTAGCCTAGTGACGTCTCGAGACATCAAGCTAGTCATAAGAAAATAATGGAACCGACCGGAAAACTGTTAAACCAGCCTTCAGAACAAAAGCTTATTTTTATACAGCATGGTGTTTATTGGATAAATTCCACAATATTCACCTATTAGAAAGTTTCAATTTGTAGAATTGTTTTATTTTAGCATACCGGTATTCAGTAAGTATGACTAAGTATGATTGATAATTAAAAGCTTAATGTTTAGTGGGATGGGGGACATTAGATATATATTGCACTGATAGTAGTCATAATTTGTTTGTATCATGGCTGTGGAGCACTTGAATAACATTTCCAACTTTGCAACTATACCGTTAAAATTCAATTAATAGCCCAGGCTTTTATTCAGTATATGTATTGACCCTGCCTTTTAAACATGTTTTTGTATTTAACTTTTATTTAATTGGGTTGGTCCCATTGAAATCAAGAGCCTCTTTTACAAGGCAGACCTGGCCAAGACTAGTCATGGAAGAATGCAGGCTGGTTCAGGTTCAGGTTACTTTGGTTGCAGGTAGAGTAACTTAATACAACACAGACAATACATAAAACATACAAAGTGCAAATGCATGGTACATGAACAAAAGTTCTGAGGGGCCTATGTACCGTGCATTTGCACTTTGTAGGGCTGGGCGATATGGACCAAAACTCATATCTCGACATTGTTTAGCTGAATGGCGATACTCAATATATATCAATATGTATTTTATTAACAGTGAAAACACATGGAAAAATAAACTACCTGTTTGTGAATTTAAAAAATAATATTATAAAATAAAAATGTTCCTTAAATACAATAAAAGAGAGAGAGAGAGGAGGAGCGGGGTTAAGAGGGACAGACAGTCAGTCATCATCAGTGAGATGAGAAAAAGATAACCTGGCACCTCTATAACGTTATTTTAATGTAACTTAAACTATATCGGTATTAACGATATTGTCTAACCCTATATCTTGTTTGAAAATATATCGATAAAATATCTTAAAAACTCGATATATTTCCCAGCCCTAGCACTTTGTATGTTTTATATATTGTCTGCGTTGTATTATTATTAATAATAATCATGATAATAATAATAATAATAATAATAATAATCATGATAATAATAATGACAATAATAATGATAATAATAATAATAATAATAATAATAATGATAATAATAATAATAATAATGATAATGATAATAATAATAATAATAATAATAATAATAATGATAATCATGATAATAATGACAATAATAATGATAATAATAATAATAATAATAATAATGATAATAATAATAATAATAATGATAATGATAATAATAATAATAATAATAATAATAATGATAATGATAATGATAATAATAATAATGATAATAATGATGATAATAATAATAATAATAATAATAATAATAATAATAATAATAATAATGATGATGATGATGATAATAATGATGATAATAATAATAATAATAATAATAATAATAATAATAATGATGATAATAATGATGATAATAATAATAATAATAATAATAATAATAATAATAATAATAATAATAATAATAATAATAATTAATTGCTTGCAGTTCATCAATCAATCAACCAATCACATTTTAATGTTATTACCGATCCAGGGTCCAGATAAGAGAATACAAACGACATTAAAGCACATAGCACCGATTACTTGCTGCTGGTGAGCGCAGGTAGTTTTATTGTGAAAACCCGGACCGGATGTTTTGCTCAGACTCTGGTTGCCTTGACGCTGACGGCAGGAATGGCGGCTAAGATTACGAGAGGAAGGAGCCCAAAGACCATGAAACTTTACTTCTAACGGCCCAGCGGAGGAATTCATCTCCAGTGCAACACAGAAGGGGGGTCGGTGGGGGGGCCGCCGCACTCGCCGTCGCCGTCGCCGTCGCCATCGCCATCGCCATCCCACTTGCGGATTAAAAGAAGAAGAAGTGTCACACCGGCAGATTAAAGCGGGTTCTTCTCCCGGTTCAGCCTCCGTTAAGGTAGCTGTTAGCTCCTCTAGCCAGCTGTTTGCTACTTTGGGCTCGACTGGCCCAACAAGTTAACTAAACTGTATGAGAGCATCCCGTGTGTGATTTTTTTTTTTTGAATGGCGATCAACAACAGGTGTAAGTAAAGGTATCCACACAGACATTATCACTGCTAATCACAACGTTAGCACCGCTAAGCTAAGTTGGGATCCTGGAAGTCTCGCCCATTTTTTTTTTTTTTTTTTTTTTGGATCCTGCCCCAGCCATTGGCTATAAAGGCTAATCAACAAGCCGAGTTAAGTCGGGGTTTTTTTCGGGGACGATAGGTGCCACGATGGAAAGTCTAACGCTGACTGATTTCGAGCAGAAATATTACTCCGATTTGTTCGTTTATTGCGACACGGACAACACCAAAAAAGTGGCTTCAAACGGGAGAGTTCTTGACCTTTTCCGGGCGGCCCAGCTACCCAGCGAAGTTGTCCTGCAG